AGTTGCCTGACATAAATGAACATTTGCACGATATTCTAATTTTTCGAGTTTCACCTGTATAGCCTGTTTTTGCTGCAAGAGCTCAAGGAGGAACCTCCTTTCATTTTATTCCCATAATACAACATTTTTAGATAGACTGAGCTGAGAGACAATAGCCCACTCAGTCTCCATGGCTGAGAGGGACATGAATCTGGGTCTGCCCAGTCCTAGTTCAACATCTTAACTACTGTGGATAGTATTTCATTTAACAGATTTAGGGCAGCAGATGAGAAGGTTGATGGCGGGTGCGGGGGGAGCTACATCAAGGTTTCAGGTACAGGAAGGCATATGGTCCATGATTCATAAGTTGCAATCTGTCCTATACTAATATCTGGGAAGGAGGAAATTGAGCAAATACAATTTGTCACACACAATTAAAAGAAATTACATTAATCAGATAGTTGTAGTTCTCTGTAGTATTATTTGACAGTAAATTTGGTGGCAGAAACTAAGTAGCCATAGCTGTGTAGGTAGACAGTTGAAATTTAATAATCATTCCCTCTTGTTAGAATACATAAGGGAACTATTAGGGGGCACGAGTGAGTTTACAGAAAATTCTCAGCATATTCACCTAATTATAATGATCAGGATTCACATGAGAAGCAGCTCTATATCAACTATTATAGATCAGTATGGCCTATGATAACTGAATCTATGAAGAAAGGCTTATCAGTTGTCCTATGTATATGTATATACTTATACATAAAGAATGCCTTGTGCGGCAATCTATTTGTGGCCCCTAAAGCACCCTGTAAAGGACAGGGCCAACACTGGGGCCAGGTTTTTTTGGATGGTGTTCTTTTTTGGATTTGGGAAGGGAAAGAAAGATGAAACGGGTGTGTTGCATCACAGAGGCTTACAGAAATTGTTTTGCCTAAGTCTAAAGCTCTCCCCCACCCCAATCCCCCTGCCATGCAAAACTCCAGGCCTGACTATGGCCTTGTAAGTGTAAGGGTTGAAAGGGGCCTTGGAGATCACATGCAGAAATCTGCTACTATAGCATCTGTCACATGCCACCCCAAATTTGTAGGAACTTCCCCAGGCAAGGGAGAGTCCACCACCTCCCATTGCAGTCTCTTCCATTATTGAAGTCCTCTTATTTTGTCCCGATGTTTTCCCAAGTTTCCAAGGTTCCATCCAACACTTAATCCCTTGTTTGTTGTTGTTTTCTGGACCAACAGAGTCAAGCATGGACTGCTCTATTAACATTTTAACAAAATTATATTTTAAAGAAAAGTAATACAATGCCACTGCAGTATCTTACAAGTATTTCTGCACCAATATGTCATAAAAGCCATTTTCTGGCTACATATTATTTTCAGTAATATATTTACAAGGTCCTGCATTTCTGTTTTCTAAGTATGATTTAAATCTTAGTAGATGCAAGTGGCTGAACACAAGTGTGGCTCTACTTTGCTCACCACCTGGGAGCTACTCGAGAATCATAGATAAGCATAAAGGTTGCATGTCTTTACATTCTTGCTGAATGTTAGAAAGCATAATAAGCAGGTGTGCTTCTATCAGATTACTCTCTGATAGAAGCATAGCACGGTAGGGATTGTGGGGGCCTACAGTGATTGTTTACGAAGATCTGCTCTCTCTTGGACCTTTATTTTCAGACACGAATGTCAGGGACTCTTGAAGTCCCTTGTTTCTTATTAAGCTGCAGTCTGCATTGGAGATGAGTTTAAGCTGAAGGGCACCACTAACCATCTTTGTCTACAGCATATTGTGGGTTGCACACATAATAATTACATTTAATTCACACAGCCTCACCACCAGTATTTCAGGAATTCTGAGTATGTACTCAAGAGTTACATATGAAGTGCATTTGAACATATTACCTTCCAATATGTTCAAAGGAATTTGAAGCCACTACTAAAAATTCAAGTGTCCACAAACAGACACTTTAAAACTGTGGAGAGGAAAAATTAAGCAACCCATTTTATTTGCCTCTTGTATTTGTTTCAGCCTAGTTTTTGAGAACTTATTGGGGAGAATTAAAATAAGACAAATCATCCTAAAATCCAATTTAGGAAAAGTTGAGTAACATTCAAATCCTGGGAAGTATAGCAACTGCTAATTGTTGGAACTAGTTTTTATTTCTGGATAACAATAATGCTTTCTGATTGTCTATTCCTATTTTCTTTCTGTTTTGAATTTATGTTGCTTTAACAATAGGTTGTATTTCAATATTGTAAGATTAGCAATCCATAAACCCACCATGTTCTTTCCCTCAGCATTCCTTAGATGCAATGCTTTAATGAATGATTGAATGCACATGCAATCCTTTTAAGGCCTAATATTTAAATTTGTATTTAATTGTATAGAGCTAGGCATTATTTTTATATCTGCTGTCATATTCTCTAGTCTGAACAATTTTTTTCTCCACCTGAGTACCTTTGCACTAGTTTCTGTCACTGTAACCAGTTGTAAGCCTGCCATTATGAACTGCACTTAATCAAATGGTATATTTCTTGTACATACTGAAAGTAGAAGGAAATGGAAATATTATGGTATCTCAGATATTCTCTCTCTTGAAAAATGCTGTAAAACTGTTCTGAACTACTGTAACTGTTTTTATAATTGAAGTAAACAGTGAGATTTGCTTAAACTAGAACACTGCTCTACATTGGCTGTATTTAAGTGTTGTTTCATAATTGCAAGAAATCTTTTTTTCCCCCCTTTACTTTCCATTGTTTGTTTGTTCTGCTTTATTTTTGTTCCTGCGTTTCAGGCTCTCTTCAGAAATAACTGGTCTCGGGGTTCTGTAAATCTAATCTGTCTCAGGATGCTCTTCTAAATCCTCAGGAGACAATGCTTTTCTATGGACAAAACATCAGAAGAGATGACGATTTCTAATTATTCTGAGATCTCAAAATAAATATTTTTATTCTTTAAGCTACTGTGATTCCTAACATTTGTTACTTTGATTAGTATTTTGAATTAATATACTTCAACATGATTCACCAAAGGATTGTTACTTTTATCTCTGTTGATGCTCATGCTATGACTAGTTCACACAGATTGTTTGAATCCACCGTTTAGTCAGTAAAAATACAAAAAATAGTTCTTATAATTTTCCCCTTATTTTAAAAATCACACTGTAATTTTCTGA